ATGTTGCACTATTTACAAGATTAAAAGTTTGTAGCAACAGTTGCATATGTCATCAAGATGCTTTTGCGGCAATTTGGAATGCGTTTTCTGTTATCCTTAACATTTGTATTAGTTTCTGCATTTCAAATTCAGTTTTTGTGATGGATTGATTAAATGTGCTCATAAGAGCAACATAACGCTCAGCATTATCATTGATAACTTTCACAGATTTAACAATTGCTTTAGTATAACGAAATTCAACAATTTCCTCCCAGGTCTTTGGATCGGTTCTTGATAAAATGGTTACATCGAGACCAATTGACTGCAAAGCAGCAGTTGATAATGATGTAACAAGCTCATAAAGTTGCTTTTTTTTCCAACTTGTTTAATTCTGCTGCTGGACACTTTATACCCCTGACACTCCAAACAGCTCTACTTTGAATCATAGCTTCAACAATTAACTTTTTTTCTGTGTCACAAACCCTGTCAGAAAATAATCAAAGTGGAATCATTTCTGACCCAAGGTACCAAGTGCAATTTTGAAGCTTCTTCATAGCAGCATTTGAAATGACCTTGTTGATCTCAGAATATTATTTAATTCTTGTAAAGAGCATCAGGTCATTTGCTGGAGCATCACATGCAATTGGACAAGCAATCCATGCTGGTACATAGATATGAGCAGCAACAATACAAAATTCGCACAAGTTGTTCTGTTCTTTCATAGTCAGCTTGAATTAATTTCTTAAGAGGTATATCTTTATACAACAGATGACTTTAGAAATCCATCTAGCGATGTGATAAGTTCCCGGCATGCGAAAGTGATTCTTCTTGGTGGTATAATCTGATAGCGGAAAACCCAAAAATAAAAGGCACATCTCAATCATCTTTTTGTAGTCTTCTCTTGGCAAGTGCGAAGAGTCATCTGATAAGAAAGGCTGCAGAAAGGAGCCAGCCTCTGATCTAAGTTGCTAAAGCTGTCGTTCAGCAAGATGGGCGTCATTTAATGGAGTATAATTGGCTTAATTTATACTTGGCCAACACATCTGAAATCGTTTAAATAGAGCTATGTTGGGCTCACTGCTGGGTCTGAGTATATTTCCCCAATAATTACTCCATGCATATGGTGATGACAAGCAAGGTAGAGTATAATTTAAAATATGTGATCAATATTTCAATATGAATGTGATGAAATCATAAGTATTACAAAACTACAAACACTAAAGTAAGTTAAGTCACCCAACAATATTTAGCACTAAAAAAAAAGATATTGGCATAACAGCTATAATTATTATTTTATAGGGTTAAAATAAATAAGAACCTCGAAATCTTTAAATATTTCAGTTGTTCAGCAAAAAATTACAATTAATAAAAATGTTTCTCAATCAAAAACATCAGATGACAAGATGGCTGCTTGTCTCATGACCAAAGAAGTTAGCTCATAAAAGTCAATGATACATCAAATTTGTTTAATATTTTATCTAAATTGAACATGGAATAAAATTAGAAAATTATTTAAGGCGTAATGCTATTATTGTAAAACTAAAAGGCCATTGAGCAACCTCTAAACATTAATTTATTTTAATTATCTTTTGCACAGTAAATTTTAATGCCAATTGGTACAAAATAAACTAGTGTGCATTCAGGTCAAAGAAAATTTTTTTTTTCCAGTGTTTATGTGAACACTTCTAATATATATATATATATATATATATATATATATATATATATATATATATATATATATATATATATATATATATATATATATATATATATATATATATATATATACAGTACTGGACAAAAGTCTGAGACCAAGGGTTGAAAAAGACTAAAAACTGATTTTAACCATAAAATTTTATTCAATGAACAACCATGTCAATTTTTTCCAATATAATTCATATTAGTAATTCAACATAATTCAGAACACAACAATTTATTGTCAGCAGCACTGATGATGTGAGGAAAACTGATGAGTAATACAATTGTCATATATGTAGTATGTTGCACGCATAACTTCAGTTCACGCATAATATCAGTTCGAGCACAGATCAGTATTTTAAAAGAGGAGGGATACACCGAAAGAAGCATTGCTAAACGTTTGCCCGGTAACATGGTGCACCATCATGCTGGAAGATTGTACAACCAGAAAGAGGCAGCCACTGAAGCAAATTGCTTTTCAAAATTTTCAGATATTCATTGGCATTAATGGTTGTTTTAGGAGGCATGAACCAAATACCTGCTTGTCCTCTGGTTGAAATTGAAGCCCAGACCATGATTGATCGGCACTGTTTAACATTTCATTTGGTGTACTTGGGATTCAGTCGCTGATTAACAGGTCTATAAACAAAAGAATGAAGAGGAGCAAAGTGCTTTATTTGACTTTCATCTGAAAACATTACTCGCGCCCAATCCAACGCTGTCCAGTCTTTGTGCTTTTGACAAAAGGCAATCCGATCCTTAATGTTCTTGGCAGAAACCCTAGGTTTAATGGAAGGACGCCGGGCATGCAGGTTGAAATCAGAGGATAGTCTTTGTCCGATAGTTCTGGATGAAACAGTAACAGAGGATGGCAAGTTGTGTTGTATTACTGTGGATGATGACATTGTAGAATTAGTACAAGTGCGATGAATCAAGCGGTCAGTCTGCATAGAGGTACATTTTGGTCTACCAGATCTTTTTCGGGAAGTTAAGCTGCCAGTCTGCTGCAATCGAGTTATTGTGTTATGAACTGCAGTTTTAGAAACAGACAAACGTTCAGCAATGCTTCTCTCGGTGTATCCCTCCTCTTTTAAAATACTGATCTGTGCTCGAACTGATATTATGCGTGAACTGAAGTTATGCGTGCAACATACTACATATATGACAATTGTATTACTCATCAGTTTTCCTCACATCATCAGTGCTGCTGACAATAAATTGTTGTGTTCTGAATTATGTTGAATTACTAATATGAATTATATTGGAAAAAATTGACATGGTTGTTCATTGAATAAAATTTTATGGTTAAAATCAGTTTTTAGTCTTTTTCAACCCTTGGTCTCAGACTTTTGTCCAGTACTGCATATATATATATATATATATATATATATATATATATATATATATATATATATATATAAATATATATATATATATATATATATATATATGTATATATATATATATATATATATATATTATATATATATATATATATATATATATATATATATATATATATATATATATACATATATATATATATATTATTTAGGTGCCCCAAGAAGACCCAATGGTCTTGTCACATAGCACCGCGGAAGTGCATTTAATCAGGAAGTTCACGCCTCCTTCCTACCGTGACGCGAAAATATGTCCAGAGCACGTTTCGAACCTGGAACTCCTGTTTATAAAGCAAGCGCTGCAACCTCTACGCCACGGCCGCACACACACACGCAATCTTATTTTATTTTTATTTATTTTTTACCAGAGTTGTAAAGTTAAATCTTTGGAAAACTAACAATAAATAAACTTAAATCCAAAGAAAGAGTGATAATTGAATAAAAGAGAAGGTAGTTAAACTTTATTTTAAAAATAAGTACCCTATTATTGTAACACAGAGGTCTTTTAATGTTAATATTCTTCTACTAAACATAAAATAATTAACTTGGTGTTAATTAGTGTTGCTATTTAACATTTTCGAGAACAGAAAAATTTTATGGAAGAGGTTTTAACCGCGTCTCAATATATTTTAGATTCCAAACTTTTGAAAGCGTGAAAATGCTCTCATAAAATTTGGATTCTAAAAGACAGGGCCGTGCGGTGCTATGATACAAAGAGGCGGCCGCCTCAGGCGGCACCATTAAGGGGCGGCAAAGTAGCGAAATCAAAATGCAATTTTAGGGTTGCAATAATAATTAGGTACTAAATCATAAACTGGACTTATTTAAATTTTAATTACTACTAAACTCTTGAATGTTTTTATCACTTTAAAAGTTTTTTCATTGTCCACATTTTTCTATAAAAATAAAAAAAAAATTTCTCCCTCATTTAGCATTCGCTTTTGCTATTCCTTTCAATATGAATAAAAACGTTTTGAAACGCATTTTAGCGTGGACTATTTTCTTATTATGTTTCAAAATACTGTTTTCAAACGTTTTTAAACGTTTGTGTTTGCCTGTCTTTGCAAGTTAAATTTTAACTTTGTAATGTCATCATGTTTTTAACTGTTAAAAACATGATGACATTACAAAGATTTTACAAAATTTTTACAAAAATTTATTACAGCAGTGACAGCAATTGTCAGCATGGAACAAAAAAGAAAAAAATTATCTGGAAGTCAATACAAAAAGAAACGCTTAAAGAATGAGGAACAAGAAAGAAAGCTCAGCAATGTTATGAAGAAATTCTTAGTACAAAAGTGCGGTTTAGATGAGCCATCCACATCAGCAGCAACTGATTTGGCAAATAACAACACAGTGCCGCCCCAATCACTTCCAGAAGAAGTTGTTGAAGAGAGCCAAACACTAACACCATCAGATCTTCATGAACAGCCGGGCAGCACATCCACGTCAACTGCGACTGCCTTGGATTTGGCAAATAAAAACACAGTGCCGCCCCAATCAATTCCAGAAAAAATTGTTGAAGAGATCCAATAAATTAGATCATCAGAAGTTCATCAAGAACCGGGCCGCATTAACAGTGGCAGTCAGCAGGTATTAAAAGAAATTCCTTCAGATCCTGCATTATGGCTTACTTTCTGCATGTCATCTCAAACTCGTCAACTACTGGTTGAGAGGGGTCCCCATCAAATTAAAGAATTCGAGTTTCCTATTAATAAAGGAAAGCGTAGATTTTTGCCCTCGTATTATTCGAAAGTGTTGAGCAATGGTGAAGTCGTTGAGAGAAGTTAGCTTATTTACTCTATTGCTAGTGATGCCGTTTTTTGCTTTTGTTGTATATTATTTGATAATTCGTCTGATATTAGTGACTGGCCCAAAAAAGGCTATTCTGACTGGAAAAATCTTATAAGAGCCCTCACAATGCACGAAAAGTCTGTAAATCACAGAAATGCTTTTAGAGCATGGAAAGAATTGGGCATTCGATTGAAGCAGAAAAAAACTATTGACGCTGAATATCAACGAATTATGGATATGGAACTTCAGCATTGGAGAGGAGTTATGAAAAGAATTATGTCAATAATTAAACTATTGGCCTCACAATGTTTAGCTTTTCGTGGATCAACTGAACATTTGTTTCAACCTAATAACGGGAACTTCCTAAAGTTGGTAGAATTACTTTCTGAGTTTGATCCAGTTATGGAAAAACATATCAGGTGAGTTCAACGAGAGTCTGATAAATGGTCAGTGACTTATCTAAGCAATAATATACAAGATGAATTGATAAATTTAATGGGAAATTCAATTTTAAGAAAAATTGTCGAAATAACAAAAATTGCTAAATATTTTTCTATAATCGCTGATTGTACCCCCGACGTCAGTCATTATGAACAGCTTTCCTTAACAATAAGAGTTGTTACTTTTAACTCCATTCAAAATAAATATGAAATTGCAGAATTCTTTATTGGTTTTTTTGAAGCTAGTGATTCAACCAGAGAAGGTTTGGCAAAACTTATTCTGACACATTTGGAAAAATTAGGTTTTGAGTTAAAGTGGCTTAGGGGACAAGGCTATGACAACGGAGCCAATATGAAAGGAGTAAGAAAGGGTGTTCAAAATAGAATACTTGAAAAATATCCAAGGGCTTTTTATGTGCCCTGCGCATGCCATTCTTTAAACCTTGTTGTGAATGATGCAGCATCTTCTACTACAGAAACAACATTTTTTTTTTCTATTGTACAAGAACTTTACACTCTTTTTTCTGGTTCTACAAAGCGTTGGGAAGTGCTAAAAAAATATGTTTCTCAATTAACTCTGAAACCATTAAGTGCTACTAGGTGGGCAAGCAGAATAGATGCTTTAAAACCTTTACGATTTCAACTTTGCGAAATCTATGATGCATTGATTCTGATAATAGAAGACGTCAATAGAGATGCAGAAACTAAAGTTAAAGCGAGAGGGTTAGCAAAAAATATTAAAAATTACAAGTTTATATGTGGAGTAATTCTTTGGCATGATATTTTGTTTGAAATTAATTCAGTTTCGAAGCTTTTGCAATCTGTTACTATAAATATATCAGATTGTGTAAGGATGCTATCAGAAACCATAAAAAAAGTGAAAAGTTATAGACAATCTGGATATATTCAGATGAAAATTGCTGCAAAGGAGATAGCAGAGAATCTCGAATGCAGTACAGAATTTCCTGATGACACTGAAGTTAGACCCAGAAGGAAAAAGCATCAATTTGACTATGAAAAAGCTGTCGATGAACCCTTAACAGAGGAGAAAAAATTTAAAATAAACTTTTTTAACTATATTCTGGACATTACCCTTAATTCTCTGAATGAACGATTCACGCTTCTGGAAACCCATAGCAAAAAATTTCAGTTCTTATATGACATTTTAAAACTCAAGGATATAGATGACAAAACGCTAGAAAATTATTGTTCCAGTCTTGAGTTTATACTTTCGGTTGAAAATGAAACAGATATAAATGCAAATGACCTTAGAGAAGAATTGCGTGATGTATCCAGAATGCTACCATATTCTACGAAACCTTTGGATGTTTTAAATTATTTATCCAAATACTGTTGTAGCTCTGAGAATTTTATTAACTCTCCCTGTATCTGTAGCTAGTGGGGAAAGAAGTTTCTCCAAATTAAAATTAATAAAAAACTACTTAAGAACTTCAATAGAACAAACAAAACTTAAAAATCTGGCATTAATTTCTATTGAATCTGCAATGGCTAGCACTCTAGACTACACATCAGTAATTAACGAATTTGCTAAAGTTAAAGTTAGAAGAGTAAAGCTGTAATACTGTACATTGTTGTAGTTTATAGTTGAAATCATTATTTTAAAATTTCTAAATAAAAAGTAGAATTCGTACATTTTGTGCAGTTTTTTTTTAAATCACAATCGAAGGTTATTTTAAAGAAAAACATTTAATGGGGCGGCATTTCGAAGATTTGCCTCATAATGAGAAAATCTACCGCACGGGCCTGCTAAAAGATATTGTTGCAGCAAATTCAAAGAGGCTTTAACATGTATCCATACATGGTTCATCTAATGCAATCTATACAATAAGAGATGCAACACTCAGGTTTTAGACTATAGCAAGAATACCTTCAACCATTGACACTCTCAGGTTTTAGACTATAGCAAGAATACCTTCAACCATTGTCACATCGTCGTAATGTTGTTCTCTTTCTTATTTCAATAAATACTACGATGTACCATCTACAAAAATTTATTATCGTGTTACTCGTCATTCAATTAAGTTCATCATTTTACTGTGACTTCTTAAATGCACCAAAATTTCTTATTTTTCAATTTTTTTTTTCTCGAAAATTACTTCTTTGAGATTTTCCCCATTAAAATTGATAAATATCGAAAGGTTGTTTTAATAGTTTATTGAAGCACGATAAGTTAAAAAATGCTAGTTTTTGATTTTAGAAATTTTTATTTCTGATTCTCCAAAACCTAAAACGCTAATTAAAAACCTAAAACGCTAACACAACTAATTTTAACTATGGCTCGTGGTCAAACAGTGAAATTTTCTGCTACAACAAATAAATCTAAAAAGATTATTACTTTTATCTATTTAATGTAATTTCGATGAGTTAAAACTTAATTCTTGACCTTTATCATTTATTTGGTGGTGCAATTAATTTTCAAATCAATTGTTTTTATATTCCATCTCACTGCTTGCACTCTCTCCTACAGCTTGATTCAAACTCAGGCGACTGCTTAAAGCCGCTCTGTTTAATTTTTGTAAGAAATTAAAGTTATCGGAGAGAAATTAGCAGTCTTTTTATTTATTATTAAAAAAAAATCTGTTTAGTACACAGCCTTCTGCATATAAAATGATAAACGAAGCTTAATTATTGCAATTTAATGCTGAAAAAAGTTTTTGTTTTACAATGAGTTTTCTATGCGAATGTTTTTTGCTTGTAAACTCTGCCTAGTGTAACTCTAAGTGACATATTATCCTTATTTGTATCCGCATATAAATAACAGCATGTAAAATGATTTCCTTGGTTTTAATTTTAAGCATTTTATTCAAACTTGCATATGTTGACTGTCAACAAGGAAAGTTGCCGTTATTTGGTCGTGGAGAGCAACCCCCTGCAATTGATGGTTCATGGTCATCATGGAATGAATGGTCATCATGCTATCATAACACTATTGATAAGTCAAATTTTTTTTATTCATGGGTAAATTTTAATTTAAAATCTAGAAACAGATCTTGCAATTCCCCAACACCTTTATATGGAGGTGCAGATTGTCTAGGTCCATCTAATAGATATCAACAGTGTGATTGTGATAATCCACTTATGCTTTCTCCAGAAAGGATAAGTTCAAACCAAATTACTGCTTCAAGTTTTTTAAAAACAAACCCGCCTAGCAATATACGCTTTTTAAATAATAATACTGGTTGGTGTTCAGAATCAAAGTTAAGTTTTTTTTCTAATACGTTTATTGTAATTGACTTTGGATATTTTGCAAAAGTTAAAGCAGTAGAAATAATAGGAAATGAGAATGGTCGTGTAAGTAAATTTAGAATAGAACACAGCTTAGATGCAAGTAATTGGAATGTTGTCTACAAAGATGAAGCAAAAACAATAAATATATTTAAAGGAAATTTGTTGCCTAATGTAATTACTAGAAACAGTTTTAAAGAAGATCTTGTTTTAAAGTACTTAAAATTGGTTCCTATTGAGTCTTATAATTTTCCTTGTTTAAAACTAGAAGCTTTTGGATGCATATATACTTGTGGTGAGCATTTAATCCAACCATTTGGTAAGATTGAAGCTCAAAGTTCTGTTAACTTTGATCAAAGTTGTCTATGGAAAATTGAAGTTTTGAATACAACTTCAATAACCTTTAATTTTAAAGTGTTTTTTATACTTTGTAAAAATGGTTTTCTTGCTTTTTATGATGGGCATAAATCATTTCAGTCTTCTTCAAGTGTATATAAAGCTTGTCTAAGTTACGATTATGAAGAACTCTCTCCAATAAAACTTAATTACAACAAGATTTGGGTTTATTTTGTTTCAAATTCTTCATCTACTGAAGATAATTTTCATATTGAATACTTCTCTGAATGTAACCAAGAAGTCTATTTAAATGCTGGCGAACCTTATGCTATTGAATCTCCAAATTTTCCTAATAATTATTTTGATAATTTAAACTGTGAATGGCATCTTTATGCTCCAAAAGCTATTAATAAACTAGATATAATTTTTAAAAATTTTGCTATTGAGAGTAGTTCAGATGACTCATGTTCAAATGATTTTTTAACTTTTGTTGTAGTTGAAAAAGGAATTGAAACATCTCTTGGACCATTTTGCAATAGCAATAAGCCAAATTCAACTCTGAATGTTAAGGCAGAAATATTGCATATTGTTTTTAAAACAGACATAGCCTCATCGGATACAGGTTTTTCTTTTTCAGTGAAGGCTGGAAGTGTAGTCAAGACAACGTCAAGTTTGTTGTCATTTTCAAATAATAAACAAAATTATGTTTTAACTTCTTCTCCGATATTTTTTGCAAATAATAGTTATAACAGAAGTAAAGTGAAAAATTCAAAAGGAACAGATGAATGGACAGTAATTATAATTTCTGCATTTTCTGCATTACTTTTTCTTTTATGTGTGTTTGTTATTGGTCACAGCACACGAAGATATATTAAAGGACGAAATGAAATGAATGCTCATTGTGCAAAATTAATGGCACAAGCTGAAAAATCAGACAAAAAAACAAGTAAGAGTAAAAAAGCAGAAAAACAATTACTTCGTAAAACAACTCTATCAAAAGTAACAACTAAGGAACCAACGTTTGAAAATGCAGAAAAAATTGAAGAAATTAGCCAACAAAATGAAGCTGATGGTTTAGTAAACAGATGTACCTCTCCTGCTACCCTTGAAAAATCTACTCAACTTCCACTGCAAGTAAATGTAAAAGTAGTCAATTCTAAGTTGGATAATTTAGAAGAATCTTGTGTATAGCTTTATAATATTGTTAAATAACATATGCCTATAAATCTTGTAAATTTATGATTATATGTATATATATATATATATATATATATATATATATATATATATATATATATATATATATATATATATATATATATATATATATATATATATATATATATATATATAATTGTTTGTTGATTTTGTTTTTATCTCAAAATAGAAAAAAAATAATAGTACAAAGATTAACAAAAAATTAATAAATTAAAATTTTTCTTTTATTATTTTATTTTTTTTAATTTAATTAAACATACATAATTAAAGTTTGTGTGCATAGTTTGAATTTTATTATATTATGAAGTGTGTAAATAAGTTTTTTAAAGACATTTAACAAAGGCATTTTTTTTTTTGTTTTTTGTTATTTCTGAACACCCAAGATACATTATAGTTCCTGATTAGCTTGTGCTAGAAAGTTTATTACCAATCAATATATTTCGATAAAAGATCATTTACAAATAGATAATAACTAATCTTAAGTAAATACCATGAAATAGTATTAATAATGCAAATAATAATGATGATAAATTAACAATTATAAGAAAATTATATAATAATAAACCAATATTAATTTTAAAACAACAATTGAATATTATCCACATAATGGCAAGTTAGAAACAGCTATGTATTGACAAAACGTAACAACCTACCATGTAACTAAAACAATTACTGCAAAAAAAAGTAACAATGATTTAACAAATATAATAATCTTAATATCAATAATCATAATAAAAAAAATAAAATTAATATATTTCATTAAAAAATAGCAATACATAAACAAATTTTCAACAACACTCACAAATAAAAATGTGTCACACACAAACATTTAGTCAAGATTCTTGACTAAACAAAAATATAGAGTTCTCATAATAAATTAAAATATTCAAATGTGAAATCATACCATAATACCCATTAAACATATCGTTCCTCAAATTTTAAAAATTTTTCTTTTTCGTTTCTTCAAAAATGGAGCAATTTTTATATTTTATATAATTCTTTTTAATTACTTTCCATTTTCGAATGTTTTTTTCTTATAACTTTTTTTTCTTTCTTTTTTCTTTCCTCGTTTTTTTTTTCGTTTTTTTCTTTTGTTTATTTGTTTGATTTTTTTTTTTTAGTTTTTGTTTATAATTTTTGCTTAATACCACTTTTTTTTGCTTATTTTGCTTAATAATATAGTTAGTGAATTTATTACTACTAACATATGTTGGTAGTGAATGACAAATGCTTCTGCTTTGGCGGAAAGCGTTAAGTGACTCAGATGCTTATTCATATACTTTTTGAAAACGTGATCAAAGAAAATTTGTTTTCAGAAAATATTTTCAAAAACATACAGTCGATTTTATATATATAACATTTGCTAGAAATAATTTGTTTAAATTTTTAAATAAACAGCAACATTACTTTTATTTACGGAAACTATCCTGTTGCTGATTTGCTACAACTTTTCCGTTGTTTAACTGTTTAATTTTTACGGATGTATCCGTTTATTTACGGAAAAGTTTCGGCAGCTGTATTGACGTTGTTTTGTTTAACGGAAAAAACCCTTTGTATTTTAACGGTTTGTTAACGGAAACTTGCGATGAACTTGCAAAACCGTTTACATGCGACGTAAAACAAAGGGTAGTTTGGTCATCGGTAGCTGCCGGAACCTTTCTGTAAAAAACGCGCTTTTCTTTTAACAGTGTGGTTGATCAAATTTCCGCCAAACAGTATTATTTCGAGGTGGGGTCCGTAATAAGCAATGCAAAATTAATTAAATTTTGTATGACAAAAATATCGTGTTTGTTTGAGTTTGAAAGTATTATTAAAAACGCTAGGGGGTAGATTATTTCTCTATAAATATACGAAACATGACACTTTAAATACATGGAGTTCAAAAAAATAAAATAATCTCACTTCAGTATAAAAAGGCTTTGTAATATGTAAAACGATCAGCATAGTTAAATATGCGGATTGCATGTTTTTGAGGGCGATAAAAAGTTTAAACTTATTTTTTTATAACACTTTCCCAGCAGTGCTAGAATAATTTATGATAAAATATTAATGAGGTAAGTTTAAGCAATTTTTATTTAAGTATTTACGAACTTTATATTAAATCTCAATATTTTTTGAACCATTAGATAAATAATGTGTTTATCCCAGGAAATATATTCATCGAGATAAACGCCTAAGAATTTTGCTGCGGAATCATTTTTCATTTTAATTTTGTCTATATAAGTTTGTTGGTAAAATTCACTTTTTTTTTATAGGAATGAAATAAATTCTATTTAGTTTTATTAACATTTAAAGTTATCTTATTACATTTAAACCAGTTTGATATTAGGTTTTCGCAAGAGTCATTCAACATATCATGCAATAATTGAATTAGTCAATAAAATTTTGAATGGTTTCAAAAATAATGAATATGCTTTAGCCTTGTTTATCAATTTAACCAAAGCATTCAATACATTTGACCACAAGATCCTCCTTCACAAACTAGAAATTTATGGAGTAACAAACAGCAATCTAAGATAGCTCAGAAATTATTTAAATAAAAGGAAACAAAGAGTGTCGTACAACAAAGCATGTACACGGTTTCAAACAATTAGTTGTGGTGTACCCCAACACTCCATTCTTGGACTTGGATTTACTATTTTTAATCTATGTGAACAATATTTACTTAACTCCAAACATTCTTAACTTTACTCTTTTTGCAGATGATACGAGTATTTTTTTTTTACTCACTCAAATATAAAAACAAAATTTTCTACAGCTAATCACGAGCTGCAAAACTTAAACGTTTAAAGCTGATAAACTTTCCTTAAACATCCTCGAAACCAAATATCTTTTATTTCACAAATCATCTAACTTTGTTAATTTACCACTTCAGCTTCCCCAGCTTATGATCAACAATATTAATATAGAAAGAGACCATTTAATGAAAATCCTGGGAATTATTTTTCAAGAAAATCTTAATTAGAAGAATCATATTTTGTACATCGAAAATAAAATCTCCAAGTCAATCGGCATCATGCATAAAAGAAAACACCTTCTAAATAAAATTTGCTTAAAAAATATATATTATTCGTTCATTTACAGTTATATCAACTATTGCAATATCGTTACTCATCATTACTAAAAAGGATATATGTAAAACAAAAGCAAGCGTGTCGAATTGTATGCAATGCTAAAAGATATACCCATGCCAAACCATTATTCAGGGAAATTTGAGCTCTAAATGTTTATGAACTGAACATTCTCCAAAATGTATTATTTATGTTTCAATCGCAAAACAATTTACTACCAAAATACTTTGAAAATCAATTTTCCACCATTGATCACAAATACCCAACAAAGTACTCTTTTCAAAACTTTAACATTCCGAAAACTTTACTTAAAATAACTGATTTCTCTATCTTATCTCAAGAACCGTGGCTATGGAATTCGATCTTTAATGAAGAAATAAAAAACATGAAGTCATCAAATCTCTTTAAAGCAGCTGTCAAACAACGCCTATTTAACTTAAGTGACGTCAACATACTCTCTTATTTTTAAAGATCAAATTAATAATAACTAAAACGAACTTATCCCTTTTGGATGACCACAAACGATGATTATACCACAATACAATTAGTTTTTCTTTCCTATACCTGGCTAAGTATTTGCTTTATTTCTACTTTGAATTGAGTTTTTAATATCACGTTAAACTCACGTGAAACTTATTGCAAAGTTGCAAATAAAAGGGGCTTGATGATAAGACTGTAGTCTTCTATTTGCTCCTGTCATAATTTTAATTTTCATCTTATTTATAAATGCATACATGAGTTAAAGTTAATTGTATGTAAAATATTTAGTGACAAAATAAATTATAAAAAATATAAGTTTTAATTCTTTATTCATAGTAATAAAGAGTTTATATATACTACTGCTTGAGCGGAACTTATTGGCATCATCTGAACCATTTTAAAGCAATACCTTTAATTCCATAATATTTAAGTTTTTAAAGAAAAGTATTTTTAAAATTTTTTTTAAAAATACTTTTCTTTTGACCAAACCGAGTGCTGTGGTTCTTCAAAAGATTTCGAAAGTTCATGTACAAACTGGATTATTGTATGCTTTGTTGAGTTATCTTGTTTAATACTCAAAATACAACAAAGATTGTTTGTAGTATTGACAACAAAAATTGTTTGTTGTATTGTGAGTTATTTTTTTTGAGATGTGTGTATATTTTTTTAGACATTATTCTTTATGAAATTTTTGAAAATAAAAAAAAAACAGAGGTGGGACGATATTTGTGAATATCTGTCACCTTCTTTAAAGATAGGAGTAACTTTAGCAACTTTTAATTGCTCTGGAAATGTTCCTTTATTAAAACAAGCTTTAAAACTTTTAAAAAGAAATTTCATCTACTCCAGTTGCTTCGTTTCTTTACACAGAATTCATAGCTACTTCAAGTTCCTCAAAAGATTCTGAAGTTAATCATCAGAGCAAACGTATCCATAGATACAATGAAATCGTTAAAGGAAGCCGTTGTATTTGGAATCTTATTTGATAAGGAAAGAAATGTCCTAATAAAAAATTTATTAAATTCATGGGCTTTTAGGTCATATAAACTTATGTTATCACCAGGGCCGGGTGAATAAAAATGAGCAATTGTTTTTACACAGTAATTGGTCAACTTATGTGAATAAAAACTTCAGCAGTTTTGCTTAAATTTTTATTAAAGTAAAGTTAAGCATTTTACTCAGTAATTCCTCACCTTTACCTGAATAAAAACTTAAGCAAAATTGCTGAAGTTTTATTCACCTAAAGCTGACCAATTACTAAGTAATAGTAATAATAATAGTAATAATAACAAGAGTAATAACAACAATAATAGTAACAACAATAATATTGAAAAAACATCTTTTTTAATCGCTAGTGTCAAATTTAGAAAGAATATATATATATATATATATATATATATATATATATATATATATATATATATATATATATATATATATATATATATATATATATATATATATATATACACATATACATATAAAAATGTAATTTTTTTTTTTTTTTGTAGTTTATCTCTCCAAGGCCGAGAAGGCCACTACAGATGAGAAGGCTACTTGTGGTTATAACCCTCTCTCAACTCTACAACTCCGAAACACGAACCTTGACGAACCAGGCCGCTGCGCGGAGAAACAAGTTGGACGCGGTACTACAGGCACAACCATATATATATATATATATATATATATATATATATATATATATATATATATATATATATATATATATATATATATATATATATATATATATATATGTATATATATATATGATATCTTTTAGCAATTGAGTTTAGTCTCTTTTTAGTTGAATCAGATATTTTCCCCAAAAACGGCAGTTTAATATAAGACAAAGAATTTTTGATTTTAAGTGGAATTAATCTTGTTTAAATAGGAGTTATATATTTTTGAAATGTGCCAAGATATTTTAACATTATTATCAAATGCAAAATACATTATATTTTATATAACATTTATTTTAAAATTTAATAAGTACATAAACAATACACATAAATTTGTTCACAATTAAAAGATAAACCATATAAATTTGATATTGTATATATTATGGCCTAAAACTTATTTGTTTATGCTTTTTTTTATTGGATACCATTTTTATTTTCTTTAATATAATAGATAATTCCTGCAGTTGCGTATAGCAGGGTTATAATTTGTAGAAAATTCCTACAGTTGCGTATAGCAGGTTTAGAATTTGGCGTTAAAAGCCTTTCAATAACTAAATTTACTCCAACTGTTAACCAAACAGAAAAATTAGAATACGAGTTCATTTTATTGCTGGCCTTAAAAACTGCCGATTTACTTTTAACAAACCGATAACTTATCGCAGGGTTTAATACGGCTTTTAACCAACCGATAACTTATAACGGAGGAATGTGGATACAGCTGCAGAGTACTAAACAACTGAAATGAACTGAACGAGTGAATGAGTTGTAAATAAAAAAGCTTTTATAAAAAATTTATTCATATACTTTATATATTCATATGTATAATACAAAAGTAAAATAATTATCAAAGTTTAAAAACGCTGGTTGTCACAGTAACAGTCGACTTTTTTACGGATTCTATTTTCTTTTTATTTAAGCTTTCAGGAACACAAAGTGAAATTAACGATACTATAATTGTAACAACTAATATCAAAATAAAAGAAAAATACTGGTTGAATGGAAACGAACGTCTATTTGCTAAAGACCATGTAAAAAGACTGCCAAAACTTGCGGGTCCTATAGATCTAAAATAAAACATATATATATATATATATATATATATATATATATATATATATATATATATATATATATATATATATATATATATATATATATATATATATATATATATATATGTTGGCTTCATTCATTTGTGAGAATCACTAAGCTTTTTGTTGTAACATTTTTTAACATAAAAATTATTAAACATACAGCAATGTAAGAAACCAGATTTGCCAATTTTATGTATTATTATAAAACTGTTAAAAAATGTTTACCTGTCTAAATTTTTCATAATTTTAGCACGTTTAGATACATAAATTTTATTTTGGCTAAAGTTGTTAGAAAACTTCTTTAACAAAGGTTGAAAATAACCAACTTTTTGTGGTAATTTTTCAAGAGATGCGATACAAAAACCAAAAATCAAAAAAATAATTATTTAAACTAATTTTTTAGACACCACACAATAACAATAAGCAGTTTATATATTGCCAAACGATATACAAATAATTTTATTTATTTGTCATTTGAGTCTATACCTGAATTAATTATTATATTAAAACAGAAATATAATTAAAACAAATTATTTGTAATAATAATTTGTTTTAATTATAATAATAAATTACAATTATTTTTTGTGCGGTGTTAGATATATTGAAGTAGATAAGAAAAGATGCTGGAAGATCTTAGACGAAGAAGAACATAGTAGACATAGAAGAGCATTTACATTTAGAAGAACAAAGTAGACATAGTTTGAAATGTTGAGCCAGATCATCAAAATATAAAAATACTATTCCAATTCATTCAACTCAATCGTTTAAAGCTTGTATTGAAGCCTCTGACTTTAAATTCATCAACATAACCCTGGATTATGTGTAGATACCTGTAGCTATAATAGTGGTGGATTTATTGGATCCAACTATAAAAGTTTCAAGACCTTCAGAAAAAATAACACTTCAGTCTCAGTCTTCTTTTAAAATTTATTGAAACCCTGAGGAATCAGTACAGACAGGAGATGACAAGAACATCTGTCTATGTCAGGTTAAAAGACACAAATATGGTAGTAATTTTCAGGGATGTAGAGTCCCAAAGGGACTCCTGACATAAATTTCTATTTATTTATCCTAGTCTCTGGTGTCCCAGAGCTTTTAAAAAGTTGAGTGAATTTAAATCTACAATAAGAAAAAAATTAATGAAATTTAATGACTTAAAACTTATCATTTTTAAGCCTAGTGTCTTGGAGTCCTTGCCGCCGTTATACAAAAGAACTTTGGTATCAAAATTGAGTGTTCCTTTAACCTAGAAGTCATTACTTTTTTTTCATAAAAGTAGTTCACAAGCCTCTTTATATTTTTGGTAGGCAGAAAATTTCCCTTGATGTTACATTAGAAAAACCTTCCAAAGGAGCACATAAAAACCTAAACAAGCACCAAACTTTTAGTTAATTCTGAGGTAAATGTCCACCATGGTGAGAAATTAGGAGCTATGATTGTTTAATAAAGTTCAGTGAGATTTTAAGAAGACATTCAAAAATATATTTATATTAAAAATTTTTTAAATATTAAAAACTTACCTTCCTATAGATGAAGCTGACATCCCAACACCATTAGCTATACCAAGTAAGTCTGACTCAACAGAGTTGTTTATGAAAATATTGACAGCTGTAAAACCTGACGTCATAGCAACACGAATAAAAACTTGGTTAATCCATAAGATAATCCAAAGAAAAACTCTAAAATATAAAAAAAATAACTATATTAAAAAAACAAAAAACTTTAAAATATATTATATAAATTTAAAAATAATATCTATATAAAAAAATCTCAATATTCTGCAACATTCAATAACAGTACAACAATATCACATTTAAGACTATATTAAAAAAAATTTTTTTTTTTAAAACTGCAGAAAAATTAAATTAAAAGTAAAATTTACAAATTACTAAATGTGGTAAATTAATTGACAAATTAACTTTACAAACCAGAAGGTTCAAATCCACGAGAAAATAGTGGCCTCCTCTAGTGCCTACCTCCTTGCTGAGACAAACTCAAAAAAACATGAAGACCGTAGGTAATTCAGAAGCATTGATGTAGGAGAAAAAAAAACTAGATAAATAAAAGTTTTTTAGACATGAAAAAACAGTAAAGGGATACAACTTTATGTCACTCGAGAGTAAATAAGAAATAATAGCTTGCAGTGCTATAACAAATAAATAGAATCAGATAAAAAGATAAAAATAAAAAAGATAAAACAAATAAACAGAATCAGAAGCAGCTGCACAAGAAAGCCACAAAGTAGAGCAAAAGATTTGAAACAAGGAAAAAAACTTTCATGAGTTTAGTAGAATGTAGAATGTGCAAAAAAAAAAGATATTAGGCCAAGGATCATCACAAGAATGGTCTAGAATCATCACAAGAATGGTAATAGATCATTACAAGAATAGTCAAGGATCATCACAAGAAAATTAAAAAAAGGAATCCTAGTCAGCTTTAAAGAAAAAGTAAATATTTAGTCTTGTGCAGAAAAAGTACAAAATCAAGTGAGGTCATAGCATGCTACAGATCTCATAAATGAGTAAAAGGAGAAATTGAGCACATGTTAGGATCTAAAAACAAAACACAAATTAAGGAGCAAATGTAAATGATTTGAGTTGTGCTAAATATGAGTCACAAATTTAAATATCTGGGTAGTTGATTAAAATAAAATTTTGATTTTCATTATTTTGAGCCATAAAAGTCAATAAATAATGTAAAGGGTAATTAACACAAAAACTATTAACACTGAGATTCTTTTACTGAGATCTCATCCATCTCAATATAATCCTAATTTAAAACAGTTGCATTTAAATTACAAAAAGCAAGAATTTCTAGTTTTATTGTTAAGTTACGTTATGTTTGTAATATTTTAATAAATTAAAGAACTTGACTCAATTATAGATTGTGATTGAATTCCAAAACAATAAGGTGTGCAATTGCTTTAGTCCAGTAATGCACTTAAAGTCACAACAAAAAAATCCTTACACAGCTTTGACACAAGATACTTACAAGAAATCCTTCTAAGCACAACTTTGCAGAATCATAATGGAATCAGTCTGAATACTGGCAATCTTAAAACTATTAAACTGAGTTTTAAAACTGTACTTTTATAAGAAAACAACAGAAAGAGTTGACAGCCACTATAGAGAAGACATGACTAAAAACTTAAGCAGAGAATCAAGAAGTCCCAGCATTTGTTATCTTAAACAAGACACATTATAAAATAGGTTGATGTTGTTTACAAATGCCCCAGATGAATATTTTTATTGACACTATCACCATAGACACCATTTTGAGACACCAGTGAAAGCTAAAACCTTTATTTAACCAAATAGTCAACTTTTTTCTTCATTGATTGTCAAGACTTAGGCCTCAGAGTAAGAGAGTTGAAAAAAATTAATGGCTTTCTTGTGCTAAGGGAGGTGAACACAGTCGAAAAAAAATCATTGATGGAAGAGCACTATTTAAAGGTAGAGAAGTTAGCCTAAATATGTGAGTCCTACAAAGTAGCAAAACATGTAGCAATTATTACTCAAATAAAATTTATTGGTATGATATTTTGATTCTGACCTGACAAGACCTAAAACATTTATTAAATATCAGTAACCATTTCAATACAAGACCTGAAACATTTATTAAATATCAGTAACCATTTCAATACAAGACCTGAAACATTTATTAAATATCAGTAACCATTACAAAACACTAGAGACTACAAGAATTTTTATAAATTAGATGAAATAACAGAAAATCAGAAACTATATAAGACATCATGAAATATAAATATATTAGAAACAACCTAAAATATATAAATTATCTAATTTTAAAAATGTCTAGAACTTAAAATATTTAATGTATGAAATATAACTTATATTCTTATATGCATGCTAAATTTATTCTCTAAATTTTAATATATGTTAAATGGATCTTAACAAAAAAAATAAGCTTTAGTATATACATCAACATATATAGGGAGAATATGGAAGAGAGTTGCTGCTACATCAACTGAGGGTTTGGGTTGGAGTAGTGATAAGTATTTTTTTCTTTTTTTTGGGTTTTTGTTCTTTTTTCAAAATAACAATTTGGATTAAAATTGACAAAAAAAGTTGCAATCATTTAGTAGTACAGGCCTGATGGTATGTAAAAAGGCCTTGTTAAGAAGTGTTGCACTGAATGCATTTTATTTACAAAATGGTAATTTTAGCAATTAAGTCGAGCAAGAAATTTAATCTAATTTAAATTATTTTTTGATATTGTTTATGTGGCATTTATGTGTTTATGTTTATGTGGCATTTATGTGTTTATGTTTATGTGGCATTTATGTTTTTATGTTTATGTGGCATTTATGTATTAATGTTTATGTGGCATTCAGTTAATGTCAGTAAAGTCAGTAATAAATTCAGTTAAGTTGTAATTAATTATTGGTAAAAATGAGTTAACCACAATTTTAAAACAACTCATTTGATAAAAGAACAGATTATTAAATATTTTTTTGAATTTGTGTATTTCTCAATATCTTACTCAGATAGTTAATTTGTGACTCGTTTTCCAGAAAACCCTAATCACCTTCACACTTTAGTTTGAGTCTTGCCCCTGACCCTAGCTTGTGTTCAATTTTTCCTTGATCACCTTTAGGTGGTTCCGACTATGCAATGATATATATATTTCATTGCATAATATATATCATTGCAATAATATATAAAAATATATCACAATCTTTTACCATGTACTTCTTTTTCAGACTTACCCTATCATCACACTACTTACTACTACCCTAAAGCTGGCTAAGTCTCTTTACGTGATTTCTTTTGTTACAGTCTTTGGGGTGATATCTTTTCTTTCTCAACTGATAAATAGGCCTCTTACATAATTTCCTGAATCCAGGCAGGTATGGAAGATTTTTTCTGTCTTGTCAGTTCCAATTCAAGCCTCATTCTACTCCATGGTTTTCACCTGATATATCTATTCCTTATACTCCATGGTTTTCTTTATACTAACTTTTAAATTTTTTTTTTAAAAGAACAACTTTAATGAGAACACACTTCTTTTTCAGTTACAACAAGTCAATGTAAAATGGTGGTGCCTGATGCTTAAACCCATTATTCCGAGTTTATGAAACTTTATACCTTATCTCTGAAGTTAACTTCAGAGATAAGGTATAAAGTTACCTTATCTCTGAAGTTAACTTCAGAGATAAGGTATAAAGTTACCTTATCTCTGAAGTTAACTTCAGAGATAAGAAGATAACTTCAGAGACTTTTTTCATAGCTCAAGAGACTTTTGGAAAATATTCAACAATATTGTCAAACAGTGTAAATAACAAAGATAAGTTTAACATTTTATCTCTAATTCATGAGTCTTACCACCTCTACCAAGAACAAAGCAAAACTATTTGTAAAAAAAGGTTACTTTTGATTTAATTTATCGTTATCAACTAAATCCGGTTTCAATCTTGCTTATAAATCACTTTGGCTTATGATGCTAAAGTTGTTTCTTAATAAAACTCTTCTATAGCTTGTGATCCAGACAACATTCCTGTCATAGTCTTATAAACGTGCTCTCCAGAAATCTCTTTAACTCTAAACTATTTAATAAGTGCTTCACTAATTCTTGTTTTCCTGCCTGCTGGAAACAGGCATTTGTGGTTCTAAATTTTAAAAATGCTGGAGAACATTTTGAGCCTTCTAACTATAATCTGATGAGTCTTCTCTTTACTTAGCAAGATCTTCAAGTCTTTGATCGACAAATTTCTAACATCCTACCTTGAGTCTAACAATTTACTGTCCATCAAAAAAATTTTAAAGTTTTTCCTTCAGTTTTCCCTGAGTAAAGAGCGTTTTCCCCTGAGTTGAACTTTTTGAGTTCCCTGACTTTTCTTTTTTCTACAAATACTATACTGGTTGCTGCTTAAAGGTTCTATCATCTCTAGTTCCATCAACAAAAACTCATGCTTGCATGACATGTCATTCAGCACAGTTGCATCCTTTTACTGTATCTGTTTCTGAATGCTCTAAAAACTTTTATTCTTCAACTTTTTCACCCCACACTTTAACCATTTGGAATTCTCTACCATAGTCATGTTCTCCTGACTCATACAACCTACTAAGCACCGGCGTTACTGCAATGTAATTATGCGGTAAACTTCGATATCGATATTATAAAAAGGAATTGCAGGCGATTATTTACAATTCCGGTATTTAGTTAGATAATTGCAAAGCCATTTTTTTGATTACAATTAGCTACTAACTAATCGAAATGCTACTTTTTTCAATTTACAATCACAAAAATCACAGCGATTACAATTAAATCGCATTTTTATCATTATTCTTGCAACATACAGCAATTTTATCAAAAAATCGTAATTTGTTGCAAAGATCGCTATTATGGCCTAATATTTCCATAAACTCTAGAAATCCAATTTAGTAATTAAATCTTATTCTTATTGTTATTCTCGCAATTGAAAATAAAACTCGCAAAAAATCCAAGTTTCTAATTCAAAAAAGTGAGAACAGGACTTTGCTTCATTTATTAATACAGCAGACTGATTGCTTTATCAAAAACTATTTGCAATAAATCCGGCAAATCAAAAAAACCTGCAAAAATAGTGGAAACTTTTTTTAAAAAATTGAAGCGATTTTTATAGTCATGTAGTGTAATTTATAGTCACATCATGTATATACAGTCATATCATGTATATATATCATTTTATAGTCATATCATGTAGTGTATTTTAGTCAATATATATATATATATATATATATATATATATATATATATATATATATATATATATATATATATATATATATATATATATATATATATATATATATATATATATATATATATATATATATATATATATATGTATGTATATACATACACATATATACATTTATATATATATATCAGGGTCTATTGTAGACCATTTTAGGCAGCGTTGACCCAAATTAACAATTAAAAACTTCTTTTTTGTCAAGTTTTTTACAGCAAATATTGTTTTTTTTGCAATAAAACACCATTTTTTTGCTAAATTTTGCTAAATTTTATTCCTAGAATAGACCCTGTATATATATATATATATATATATATATATATATATATATATATATATATATATATATATATATATATATACATATATATATATATATATATATATATATATATACATATATATATATATATATATATATATATATATATATATATATATATATATATATATATATATATATATATATATATATATATATATATATATATATATATATATACATATATATACATATGCAACTACTCAATCTGTATTTTTTTCTTTTAATTAAAAAAAAAAAATACTTTATCTAAATTAAAAACACAAATGCTATACAAAAAAGTTAAAACATAAAAACTCACTTGTTAAAAAAAAAAGTGAAAACATAAAAACTCACTTGTTTTTTATAACGCTAATCAAAGGTATAAAAGGCATTAAAAAGCCGAATATGAGAGATGATACTATAAATATCTAAAAATAAAGTTCAGACATTTAGAGACAATGAGTTCAGACAAATAGAGCCGTATGATTGAAAATAAAATTACAACATCAAAAATTTTAGTCTTTGAAGTTGAAGAATACCTTTTTTGAACCAAATCTGTTTATCATCTAAAATTAAAATGTTTAATTACTACATCACATCTTCCCACATTTCTTTACACAAAACATAGTTTGGATTGTCATTTTTTCATTAAATATAAATTATTTAGAGAAAATTTACTTTATTAAAATGATCATTGTAACAATAGGTTTAATAGTTAATTGTCAAAAGTCATTTAATAGGTTTAATAGTCATTTAATAGGTTTAATAGTCAAAAAGTTCATTAAAATTTGTCTCTTAGTAACAGAGTCTTAAAATTTTTGTTAAGAAACTTCTAATCAACTTGTTTACATTGTGTCAACAATTTGATATGAAATGGTTTATTCAAATATTTTACAAGTTACATTCATAAAAGACTTTTTTTAAACATGAAATTTAGATAAAAGTATATAACTAACTTTATCTATTTAAATTTTATTATCATACGTTACAGTTTTGAAATAATTAAAAAATAAAGATGTTAAATTAATCTGTTCAAAAAGTGCCATAAAAGTTATTGCATACCTTGTTGACAAGAACAAGTTGTAAAATGAACATTGTAATAGAGATAACTAGATAAAGTAAACCTATTTCGGATGTTGACATACCTAGACCACCTGCAAAGTGGGAAAAAATATATATATATAAAATGAATTTACTGTGAATAAAAAAGATTAAATAAAAAATATACAATGGAAGATATGTGATGGGTGGTGATATATTATATATATATATATATATATATATATATATATATATATATATATATATATATATATATATATATATATATATATATATATATATATATATATATATATATGTATATAAACAATTTTAAAAATGTTTTCTACAAAATAGAGTGCTCAATGTTCTTAAAAGAACAGAGCAATTATAAATTAGTAGAAAATCACTTGATAAAATTTTTTTTTATTTTACACTGAGTTTCATCAACAAAGACTCATCAGAAATGAAATTCATTTCTGATGAGTCTTTGTTGATGAAACACAGTGTAAAATGAAAAAAATTTTTGTTAAGTGATTTTCTGCTAATTTATATATATATATATATATATATATATATATATATATATATATATATATATATATATATATATATATATATATATATATATATATATATATATATATATATATATATATATATATATATATATATATATATATATATTAGGGTATATCATACAAGAGCCAAAAATTAAATTTTTAGAATTTTGACTAGCACGCTTGGATTCCTATGTATTTGGGTATAGGGAATTCAAATATAATAATATTTTTACAAAATATTGATGTCTAGCTACCGGGAAACAGGTTTTAAAATTAGGTTTTTTTTTCAAAAATTAATCTATTTTAACTAAAGCTTAATTTTGGAAAGGTTTTAGTCAATTAATACTAAAAATTACAATTATATTAGGTAAAAAGTAAACTATGTGAAATAAAATAGATATAATTATTATTTAACTTCCAGGATTCTAGATCCAGAATGCGTAAAAAGGGCTACGGCTCCCCCCCCCCTTTTTTTTTCAATATTTGATAATTTTATTATGATTATAAGATCGAGGTATATTTATAGTTTTATTATGATTATAAGATCAAGGTATATATATATATATATATATATATATATATATATATATATATATATATATATATATATATATATATATATATATATATATATATATATATATATATATATATACCCACACACTGGATTAGGAGCAAGGGGAGGGTGCGTAGGGTGAAAGCCCCCTCCCCTCAAACTTACTCAAAATACCCGTTTAAATTAAAAGTCTTGCTGTTGTTTTTTTGCTACAAACTTTGAAAAAACAAGAATTTTTTCAAACATTTAATGTTATGCACAACAAAGTTTAAATAAAATCAAAAAATACCAAATTAGTAATTAAATAAGCTACTGAAAGTCTTTTTTTGACTTAAACAAAGGCATTAGTTCACGATTTTGCAATTGTGTTCTTATAAAACCATCTCTTTTATCCCAACCACAGTCTGTGGTTGGGATAAAAGTCAGCTGCTTCTGTGACTAATTTGACTGCTCTCTCGCAACTTTGAGTATGTAATGAGTAAGGAGGTAGCTAAAGGGGAGAAACTATCAATGCATTGAGTTGGACTAACAACATGTTTGTAGTGAAAATTGGTTCAGTAACAACCTCTTTTTTCCAATCAATAAGTTCTTTAAGGTCACATGCATCAAGGTTTATTGTTTGTGGAACTATAAAAGGTCTAACATCATTTGAGCCCAGCTCACTTACCTTCTTAATGGCCAATATTGTGTCGACTGCAAATAACCTTTGTTCTGAGTTATCAGAACAGAGAAGCGAGACAAGTATATTCTCTGGATGAGCCCACCAAGATTCATTTCTGAGATAAAGTTTAGATGCTTCTTTAATCCTGTCATCTTGCTTCTGCCAAAGTCGAAACAGCTTTAAAAGATGACAAGAACTGTATTTAATGTCATGCTTTACTTTAATCTCAAAGAACATTGGAAGATAAAGTCACCCAAGTTGCAAGCAGTCTTAAGATCTCTGCATTAACAGGTTCAAGATCATGCTTACTCATATAGAGAAGCAAGCATCTCATGCCACAAGTAAGCCATCGACTGTGAGACAATCTACCACATTTAAGAGCTTCTACTTCAGGATCAAGCTTTCCTTTCAGAATTGCATTCAAGTACTTCCATGCAACTAAACTGTCAGTGCTCATTTGCTTTAAGAAATCTTCACTGATATTAACAAGAGGCTTCAGAAGCGAAATAGGAGTAAATTGAGTAATTCTTTCAAGATTATCAACTTTGGTGTTGATAATCTTGAAAGAATTTCAAAATTTCCATTTCGTCATATTGTTGAAAAACTTGATGGACCAACTTTGATGTATCAAAGTTGGTCCATCAAGTTTTTCAACAATATGACGAAATGGAAGCTCATTAATGTGAAGCCAGCAAAAAGATCTAAAAAGTTTTCGATTGAGAAGTTCTTCCACAAAGAGAATCATTCCACCTTTCCATCTAGACATTTCATTTGTATATACATACATATATATATATATATATATATATATATATATATATATATATATATATATATATATATATATATATATATATATATATATATATATATATATATATATATATATATATATATATATAAAACTTGTCTGACTTCGCAGATCCTGACAATCTCGCATTAAAACTTGATTCTATGTTGAGATTGTGCTTACCAATTAGGTTTAAATTGTTGAATAAGATCGCCTCGTTTTTTATATCTTCTTAAGAGTAGCTAATTTCATGATTTTACATTGAGTTTTGTTGTCTTTATTTTTCAAAGCCTGAGGAACTTTCATTGCGTTGTGTTGAACCTTTTAAATTTTTTTATGTCACTATTATGGTAAGGGTTCCAGGCTTGTATGGCAAACTCCAGATGTGGTCTAATATGACTCTTGATACCAATGTGTGTTTAAGAATTTCGAGCATATTATTTGCTTTTTTTGCAGCTATATTGCACTGTTAAGCATACTTATGATTTTTAGAGATTAGAATTCCAAGATCTTTTTTGGAATTTGTGACTTCTAAAATTACTCTGATGGTTGTGCTGTCATTTTTGATTTCATTCATAATATAATCAAATTTTATTGTTCCAGAGTTAACATGCATGACTTCACATTTTTATGCATTTAACTCCATTAGCCAGGTTTGCGCATATTTAATAATCTCCTCTAGTTCGAATTTGCTCAGACTTCATCATTGCGACAACTTTTACGAGCTTTGTGTCATCTGCATATACTTTACAAATGGCTGATTCGACATGATTTAGCAGGTCATTAACAAATATGACAAAAAGGGTTGGTCCTAAAACAGAACCTTGGAGAACCTCACTAGTTACATCAATTCAGTCAGATTTTGAACCTCCAAGTATAACATGCGGGTTGTTAAGAAGGCTTTTATTCAATTTAGAAGACTGCCATTTATACCATACATTTTAAGCTTTTGCAGCAGTCTTACGTGCGAAACTTTATCGAATGCCTTTGCAAAGTCTATGAAAACTGGGTAAACTGTTTGTTTTTTTAATTTGCTATGAGACAAAAATTCCATTTTTCTAAAAGATTTGTGATGCAAGTCTTTCTCGAAAAAAAATCATGTTGAGTTTTGAAAAGCAACATGATTTTTTTTTTGTTATTTACCAAATGATTGATTATGACTTGTCTAACTATTTTCCATAAGTTTGCATGGAACAGAAGTGAGCTATTGTTATAATTATGGATCTATTCTGCTACCTTTTTTATAAACAGGTGTAACATTAGCTCTGAGATAAGATGATAAAAACTTTCCAGATTTTAATTTTAAAGTTAAAAAAATCGAAGTTAGCGGAACTGTCATTGATGTGGCACATGCTTTTAAAACAAACAGACTAATGTTATCAGCGTCTAATGACTTATTTCCATCAAACATATTTAGGTGTTTGAGATCAATGTTTTAGTCAATTGTTATACTAAGTTAAAACATTTGTTTTGACTTAGTATAACAATTGTGTCAGTGTTTCCTTTGTAAAAACTGATTGAAATTGGTTGTTGATAATGTTTGCTTATATACTTAATAAAAAAACAGTTAACTTCCAAAAATCATCACGAAAATAAATTTCTATCAAGCAACCATAAACCTGAAGATTATATAAGCTACTTATTAATGATATAATTAACTTATTAATGAAACAATACTACCTTGTTAATAATATAATTAACTTATTAATGAAACAATACTACCTTGTTTTGCGCAAAATAAAAAAAATTATTCGTTTTTTTTTTAATTTTATAAACTCAAACCTTTAAACAACAAAAATACAAATTTTTTGAACTTAAATTACAGAAATTTATGTAGTAATGTTAATATTGTTAAACCACTGCAACTTTAGGACTTTAAACTAAGTAGTTTTAACAAAAAACACTGGGTAATTTCAGCATGCTTATATTACACAAAAATGGTATTTTTTAATAAAGAAAACTGATATATATGTGTGTGTGTGTGTATATATATATATATATATATATATATATATATATATATATATATATACACGCACATTTTTTATAATATTTTCTTTTTTATATAATTTTAGCCTTTAATATGCTCCTTTATGTTTATGTACTCTCTAATATCTTCAGTTATATAAATATATTTATAATTTTTATATTAAATAATTACAATTATCATTATTTCAACTATTCATTAAAGAACCATTACCATCTACAAAACAATACTTAAATGCCTAACGGAGAAAGTTGGATTACTAATAAAGTGAATAAGATAGAAAGCTCTGCCCCAACATATCGATTTGGTAAGTTTTAGAAACGAGTTAATTAGGCTAATTAAGAACATTTTATTTTCTACCATTCAAAACCATTTTTAAAAGCAACTGCAAACTGAAATAGTAAAAATAAAATCTTCAAGTAATGTTTTTGTCTGATAAATCAAGAAACCTGTATGAGCTAGATAAACCTTTGTATCATAAACTTTATACTGAAAATATTACAAAAACTTATAAAAAATCTGATATCACATGATATAACAACATTAACACAGATGTTATAATCATAGCCAAAGTTTTGCGCATAGATAATAGGCTAGAGCGTCTAGCCATGAATGCAGCATTCATTACCTTAAAGACCATAAGGATAATTTCCTTTAAGGTAATACGTGGGTTAAAAAGTCGGCGGACCCTAATTTTGATGTCACCATGGGTAGTTTTGATGGAGCCTAAATAATGCCAAAAAAGATGGTCTTAATACTACTGGTTTATAAAGAGATAATGGTCTTTACTGCTTCTATAATATCAGTGGTCCTCAATCAGAAAAAATAACAAAAAATCTAATAAAAATTTTTAAAGAAAAATTTGATCTTAACATTATTATCAGACCAAACTTAAAAACTTTTCTTAATATCACATTTAACTTTTCTGAGAACTCTTTTAAACCTTATAAAAAACCAAGAGATAATCCTTTATATATAAACATCAATTCTAATCATCTACCAAGAATCATTAAATCCATACCATGATCTCTAATTGCATCACTAATATATCTTCAAGCAAAGAAGCTTATTAATATATATATATATAAAAGCTTTAAAAGTCGTATTCTTGTTATATGATAGGTTTATAATATGTAAGTTGATTTTAATAAAAGACAGCGTATAACTATTTTTAAATACATTTGATATAATTATATATATTAATATAATATATTAATAATATACTAATATTATATTATAATATTATATTAAAAAATATACATATAATATAATATAATAATAATATATATTAATTATGGATGAATTGAGTTAATATTAATGTACAATAATTTATCATTAGGTTATTTGAATGGCTTATATGAATTTTCAGAAAGGTTAAATGTGACATCAAGAAAGTTCACAATTTTTGAATTTATGTTTATTTGGCTAATATTTTCAAAAATTTTTATAATACCTTTTCTAATTTTATCGAGCTGTTGACCAGATTTTTTACGCATTACTAATAAACCATTGTCGCAATTATTTTACTTAATAAATCTAAAATATATAGTTCAACAAATTCACAAATTTCTGCTCCATCATAACTGCCGATTGTTACATCAAAGCAGTCATATATGTTTTTATTTTTCCGAGTTTCCTTATTAAAATAAAGTAAGGTTTTTCTACAATGTTTTATTATACAAATTGTTTCTTTATAAATAACTGTGTGGCTTTTTGAAAATTCAATTGTTTTATCTAAAATATCTGCAGTTATTGAGGGGTAAAAATCATTTATGTCAACTTGAATAAATGCACAGTCATTTTAAAAATAAAACAAAAGAAAAAATAGCAAAACAAACATTTTATTAAAATTCTAGTAAAAACTAAAAGCAGGCCTCGGCAGGAAGCGAGAGCTCTAGCTCTCGCTCTCACCCACACTCCCCTAAATTGGTTTACGAGAGCTATTTACAGCTCTCGCAAAACTATAATGTTGTCATAAATGTAAAACACTATATTTTAACTTTTTCTTTTAGATATTCATTGAAAAAGTAAATATTCTGGTGCAAAATATATCGTATAAAAAAGATAAAGTTCGAGTTTCAGATTGACTTTTTAGCTTACAAAATGCGCTCGTTTATTTTTTTAAGTAGTAGTCTGTGATTTATTTTTTATTTTTTGCGATTTTATTTCAACTTTACAAATGGATAAAAACTTGTCGACTTAGTAATATAAGTTATTCTATGCAACAATAATTTTGTCTTTTAGTAAAGCAGAGTGTTTTTTTAATATAGTATTATAAATTTTTTTAATATAGTAATATAAATATTACATAATTACACTGAAAAGTTATAATAGAAATAATAATAAAAACTTTTTCTTTTTATTTCTAACGCAGATATGCAGTACAGATAGATTGTTCTCAACGGCCGCGAGATGACATTATGGTAGGGAGGGGGGGCACCGAAGCACCAATAAACCTAAAATACTAAAGTAATAATAAAACCCTACGTTGTAAAAAAAAGGGGCTATGAAAGGGGCTATGTCGCCGTGGCCCATCTTTCTTAATCTAAAATCCTTGTTGTGGAATGTTGCTTTTACAATAATGACAATATTTTAAAGTTAGCAAAGATGTTTATAAAAGAAAAGTCTATCCTTGTTACTAAGAGCAAATCTAAACCATCTAGTACCTATTTTATTAAATTATTGTAACATTTTTAAACAGTTTATTAGGATAGAAATATATATCTTCCGATCTTTTTAGTAATTATACAAAACTTGGTCCAAAATTTGCAGACTTATATATATATAATAATATATATATACATATAATAATATATATATATATATATAATAATATATATATATATATATATATATATATATATATATATATATATATATATATATATATATATATATATATATATATATATATATATATATATATATATATATATATATATATATATATATATATATATATATATATATATTAGTATAAGTTGCATACTTGTAACATTAATGTTACATATGGTTTTATCAAGTATAAAATCATCATCTTTATAATTTAATCTTAGTATAAAATTCTAATAAACCTTTTTTTAAATGAATTTAGAGAGAGCTCTCATAAAAGCCGAAAGCTCTCGTAAAATTCATTTTAGAGGAGCAGCTTGCCTGGCTCTCCTTGTTTGATTTAGGAGAGCAGCTCTCGGCTCTCGCCCTCATTTATTCCGGCCGAGGCATGTAAAAGCAAAAATTGTTTTAAATAAATATTAAACAAATTAGTTAAAATAAAAACAAAAATTACAAATACTTATTTTAAATATTGTGTTTAACGGCATTAACAATAAAAATGGCAAAAAAACAAACAGTTTATTTAAAATCTAAGTAAAATAATTACAAACAGCAAATCGAATTTTAAATAAGATAGTTCAAACTAAAACGGCTTATATTAAAACAAATTATTAGAAACTTAAATAAAAAACACATGTTTTATTTAAATTCTAAATAATTCACACATAAAAGTCTTTTCACGATTTTTCAAAAAAGTATTTGATAAACAAAAAAGATTTGTTGCAATTAAAAATGCTTTAAATTTTTTAAAAATATTTTTTTATGTGCTTGCCAAAATATTTTTTCAAACTGTGCAAAATATTTACTTTTATCTTTATTTGGAATTTCTACTACCTTAAAAAAAAGTTGAGGTTTATATTATCATATTATATATTATATTACTATATATTATATTATTATTATTATATTTATTATATATTATTGTTAATTATATATTATATTATTATTATAATTATATATTAAAATTACAGATATTTTATAATAATTATAATAATAATATAAGAAACTACCAACCATATTCAATAGAAGTAGAAGCAAAGACTGGAAATAATTCTTCGTAACCAATAGTAAACAGAGTATATAATCCATAAAGCATAGATGAAATAAGGAATTCTTTGTTTCTAAAAATATTTTAAAGATATCAAAATGAAGAAAAAGAAAAATTTAACTTTAAAAACATTTTTGAATAATTATTTACTATAATTAAAATACTAATAAAAAATTTAATAAGATATATAATAAAATATATCATATTCATAATAATTATATATAAATACAAATATAATATAATATAAGTACAAATATAATATAATATAATTAAAAAAATTAATAAAATATATAATAAAATTATATAGTAGATATAATATTTATAAAATACATAATAAACATTAAAACAATATTATGTTAGATAAAATTTAATTTTTTTTTTTTAAAAAACATTTTAGAAAAAAAAAAAAAAAAAAATTTAAAAAAAAAATACCTTAACAGTTTAAAAAAACTACTCATTTTTAACAAAATCCAGAATTTTTTTAACTTGGAAAGCTTTGGATCAATTAATCTAGTTGATTCACTTGTTTGTAAACGTTTACTTTTTTTAAGTAATTCTATATCAACTGAACAATTGAGATATGCATCTACATTAAACATAGAAGAGTCTTTTTTATCTTCGATAAGAAGTGAGTCATTATCATTGTAAGTTCTGTGAAAAAAAAAAAAAAAAAAAATTGTATACCTTCTTATTATATTTTGTGTAACGATTTTTATTTCATATTAATATATATATAAATTTAAATTTATATATATATATAAATATTTATTTTTAAATTTTTATATGTGTGTATATATATATATATATATATATATATATATATATAATTATATTGTATAAATTTTCGTGAACATACATTGAATGACTTAACTAGGTAAAACACGCAGGGAGTGTACATACATTGAATTACTTTAATGGAGAAAACATGCTGGAAGTGTACATACATTGAATTACTTTAATAGAGAAAACATGCAGGGAGTGTACTTACATCAACTAATTTAACTAGGTAGAACACGCAGGGAATGTACATACATTGACTGACTAAAAAACGGAGAACATGCAAGAAGTGTCGCTACTTTCACTTAGGCTTTTGGTTTATAACAAATCAAATAATCAAATTAAGTTTTTTCCAGTCTTCTAAATAAATGATAATGCCAACATTTTATGGTAAAAAATACTATAGCGTATTTATATAAACAATTGCTTACTAACTTACTTAATTTATCTTTATAGCATACAGCTTTTTCAGAAACCCTCAGTCAATGCAGTGGCACTCTTTTGCAACAGCTATATTATAGTCAATGTATGTAATTAGGCCCTATACAGCAGGCTAGTTCATCCAAACACACATTTATAGTTGTATAAACATATATGTATATATATATATATATATATATATATATATATATATATATATATATATATATATATATATATACATAAGAAATATCTTTAAGTATTTTTTATTGTACCCATTTTCAATAAACACTTTAATAAAAAAATGAATTTATCCAAAAGTATTAAAGTTGATTCTTTAAATGGTATTGATATGTATAAGCTCACAAAAGATACCTGTATTTCATCTTTTTCTATGAACCATGACTTAGTTTTGTTAATAAAGTTTTAAATTTTTTAATCTAATAGGATTTTTATGTAAGACTTGTTGTATTCTTTTAATCAAGTAATTCAAAATTCCATAACAAGGCGTGCCATTAGTTGATAAATGACTCTTATTGGATAAGATTTGTGTTTTTTATGAGCTTTAATTTTTTTTTTTTTTTTTTTTTAATTTTACTTCATCTCCTCAAGGCCGAGAAGGCCGATACAGACGAGGAAGCTACTTATTTTGTGGCTATAACCCTCTCTCAACTCTATAACTCCAAAACACGAACCTTGACGAACAAGGCCGCTGCGCGGAGAAACGAGTTGAGCGCGGTACTACCAGGGACGTGGTGGGGATCGAACTTTGAACCACTCGTTTATGAAGCGAGCGCTCTACCACTACACCACTACCGCATATTATTTATTTATCCAAAAGTATTAAAGTTGATTCTTCAAATGGTATTGATATGTCCGCAATATTAATTAGCCCATACAAACGTGGTGGTTTTTGTGTATACAGTATTGGCCATAAATAACAACCCAGCATTTTTTTTTTGATATCATTGGACTTCAGTCAGGTCAGGTTTTGATATCATTGGTCAGGTTTTGATATCATTGATATCAGTCAGGTATTGATATCAGGTATTGATATCAGTCAGGTATATCAGTTTTGTATATCAGGTATATCAGGTATATCAGGTATTGTATATCAGTATTGTATATCAGTATTGTATATCAGTATTGTATTGTATATCAGTATTGTATATCAGTATTATATTGTATTGTATATCAGTATTGTATATCAGTATTGTATATCAGTATTGTATATCAGTATCGTATATCAGTATTGTATATCAGTATTGTATATCAGTATTGTATATCAGTATTGTATATCAGATATATCAGTCAGGTATATCAGTTTTATTGATATCAGTCAGGTATATTGATATCAGTCAGGTTTTGATATCAGGTATTGATATCAGTCAGGTATACTGATATCATTGATATCAGTCAGGTCAGGTTTTGACATCATTGGACTTCAGTCAGGTTCAGTCAGATCAGGTTTATCTTGCTGCTGGTAACATGTAACCCAGTACAATCTGCTTCATGTCCTGCTGCCTTGTAGGATATGCCTTTTTAGGAAAAGGCTAGGAGATGCAAACTCTGGCATAAAACACCCCCTGCCTTTAGGCTCTTGGTTGAGTAAAGGCTAGAGATGGTGTCTTGATAAAAATACTCATCTTGGGCAGATGTTAAATGCATCCAGCTGTCTTGTAGAAGGCCTCCTAGGCAAAGACTTAAGAGGTAAACAGATTCTATCTATTGACGAGCCTCTCACCCCTTCTCCATCTATTAGGCTGACGCAGATGTATTTTTAATACATTGTTTCCAGTTTAAGATGTTGAACGCTGGATCTTCTTGACTCGATGCATGGGTTTTGCTTGTGTCTCTGTTTTTATGACTAGGCAACTCATTCTATTATCTCCAAATGAGGGTACAGATCTAAAACTCAGTTTTATGGTTCTGAGGCCGAATGGTAGTCAGATTTCCTGAACTCTGTTATAGCTCTCAGAGAGGCTGATTCTATCAACAGCTGAAAAATATCAAAGTACTAACAGTGCCATGTTGCGCATAAATGGTGTCCATGTTTGCACTTTTGGTGTGCATTGCCAAGGCCACATTGGAGCCCTTTGTTACGGCTTAGGGTTTATTAGTAGAAATGAGGCAATTGCTTGGGCTATAAAACAGTGTACTGAGTACTATCTATGTTTCGAGTCAAGTTCTTTAACAAATTTAAAAATGAATAAAGTAACAAAAACTATAAAACACAAAAAAACCGCAGTCATCACCAAGTTTCCTAAAACTTTCATTCACCTATATTCGTGGTCTTCGTAAATTTTCTTCTGTTTAGTCTTATCTCTTGCAAAGTTCACCAGACCTCTTGCTCTTTGTGAGACTAATTTGAGTTCAGCTGTCTCATCTTGTGATCTTAGTGTTGATGTTTATCTTCCTTTAATTCGTAAAGACTCCAATAGTCACATGCTTGGCCTAGGCATTTACATTCGTAAGAATTCACCCATTTGTCGGGAAACTAGGTTTGAATTCATAGACTACTCTTTTATGTGCTTTCGTTTAGCACCACTTCACTCTATAACCTTTCTCTTTGTTCTATATCGCTCTCTTTCATCTCAAGACTACACTCTTCTTGATGTTATTTCTGATTATATTGACCAAGCCCTCATTCTTTATCCATCAGCCAATATTGTTGTTGTAGGTGACTTTAATGTTCATCACACTGAATGGCTTGGCTCTAGTGTCAGTGACTCCGCAGACATTAAGGCCCACAACTTTTGCCTTTCTCACTAACTCAAATAGTCTACTTTTTAACTCGCTTTCCAGACAACCCAAATCATTTACCTTCTCTACTCGACTTATGTCTTGTTTCTAATCCTAGTCAGTGCTCAGTTTCTCCACACTCACCCTTAGGTGCTTCTGATCATGGTTTGGTCTTTCTAAAACTATTATCTCATTCTTCTTTACCATCAGAATCCCCCTATCATTGTACATCTTACAACTACCTTAAAGCTGACTGGGACTCTTTCCGTGATTTTCTTCGTGATGGCCCCTGGGTAGAAATCTTTCGTCTTCCTGTTGACAAATGTGCTTCTTACATAACTTCGTGGATTCAGGCTGGCATGGAATCCTTTATTCCCTCTCCACGATTCCAGGTCAAGCCTCACTCTTCTTCATGGTTTTCCTCACATTATGCTGCTGCAATTGCCAATCGAAACCATTACTTCCATATCTATCAGCAAAACAATTCTCCAGAAAACAGATGTCTGTTTATTACTGCTAGGAACCATTGTAAAAAGGTTTTGTCTAACGCCAAAGCCCACTATTCTCAGATCATGAAATCTTGTATTTCATTGCAAAAATTAGGCTCTCGTGACTTCTGGAGAATCTTTTATAATATCAATAATAATGGCAAGCCTATAATTCCACCTCTTTTGTACGGTTCAGACTTTGTCACCTCACCTAAAGACTAAGCTGAATTGTTTGCCAAGAACTTTTCATCAATATCATCTCTTGATTCTACTAGTTGCGTTCTACCTGATATAGCCGTCAAACAGGTTGATCCACTGCTCGACATCCGTATCACTCCAGCTTCTGTATCTAAAGTGATTTCCTGCTTAAACTCTTCTACAGCTTGCGGCCCGGACAACATACCTGTTATAGTCTTGCAGAAGTGTTCTCCGGAGCTGTCGCCTATCCTTTCAAAACTATTTAAAAAGTGCTTATCAGATGCTGTTTTCCAGCCTGCTGGAAAGCAGCATCTGTTATCCCTATTTTTAAAAATTCTGGAGAGCGATCCAATTTGTCTAACTACCGTCCCATTAGTCTTCTTCCTATCATAAGCAAGGTTTTTGAATCTTTAATTAACAAACACTTAATCTCTCATCTCGAATCTCATAACCTACTTTCTGATCATCAATATGGTTTTCGATCTTCTGGTTCTACAACTGATTTGGTAACAGTAATAACAGATAGGTTTTATCGCGCATTAGATAAAGATGGAGAGGTTAAGGCCATCGCTCTTGACATTTCTAAAGCGTTTGATAAAGTTTGGCATGCTGGTTTTCTCCATAAGCTTTCTTCTTATGGTGCATCTGGAAACATCTTTAAGATTATTGAATCCTTCCTTTCCAATCGTAGTATAAAAGTTGTCCTTGATGAACAGCACTCTTATTCTTATTCTGTAACCTCAGGGGTTCCTCAAGGTTCAATCAAATTGGCCCTATACTCTTTTAAATTTATATTAACGATCTTCCAGATATTCTCACATCTAAGGTGACATTGTTCGCAGATGATACTACCATTTCTTCTTGTCACGATAAGAAGCCAACTCCCTCTGATTGCTTGCAGGGGGCATCTGAGCTTGAAAAGGATCTCACTTCTGCTACAGCATGGGGCTCACAGTGGCTGGTGAACTTTAATTCAGATAAAACTCAATTTTTTTTCAGTCAATCGTTGTTGCAATAATTTAGACC